TCTCCAGAAGATTTACGGCCGCGGCTAGTGTCGCTTGCTTCAGCTGTTATCAGCATTCCTGCAGAACACGGGACTAGAGTAGTTGCCAAAGTCAGATGTTATTCCCAAGTTTTTTGATAGGGGTCGTCTATCTTCGACAAATGTCCTCCTCTTGTCATGTTATGGCTTGTTATTCAGTAGTGGAAATTCGAATGATTGTCCTCTAGGATCAAGTTCTATTTCTGCTGACAAAAAAGAACATAATAATAGGGAGAAATATGCTTTGCCGACGCAGAGAAGGGTTGGGGAAGCCTAACCTAGCCCTAAAGCCATTCCACCCAGTGGAAGTACAAAGGCGGAGCCTTAAGTGAGCGCGAAACCGAAAGGAATTGCTAAATGGATAAAGCATTACATTATATCGTCGCGCACAAAGAATGGAGAAGATAAAAAGTAATTTGCGCATAACCTTATCTGCTGTCAAACTCCTTACCATTCGCTGCAATTGGTTAAAACGTATTTGCTAGCAGAAACTCAGGAACAATCACATCTCAAAGAATCCCTTGTTTGATTGATTTATAAAATATTAGACTGACAAATTAAACATTTGATGGCGCCGGATTAGAACATTAACTCAGGCCCTCTGTCAAAGTGGGATATGCATATTCCTTCCCGTTTTGCTTTCGAAAGGTTAAAGTTTAATTATCGCCTGTTGAAAGTACATGTGAATCTACCTCACTCCTGTGCTCAGGATAAGTTAGCTAAGATTTGCTCCTTTTTATACGATTTAGTAGACACAGCTACGAGAGTATGAAAGGACAGACGGATTCCATTCCTGTAGTGAATGTGTAGTCACCTGGGGATTACTAAACAGGAAGCGGTATTTACATCCTAATATAGCGGGTAGTAGAGAATTCAATACCTCAAAATAGCTAAATATGAAGCACATAACTAAACATAGGGCTAAATTAGGCTGCCGGAATTGCGAGTTTGCGATAGGCAACAGCTGGTTGTCTTATTCATTTGCATTAGCTATCAAAGGACTCGCCTCCCCATGGCTTGCCTTCTTTTGAAAAAAAAGTAATCCAACAAACTTTAAGGCATATTTTGCATAATTACTATGCTCTTTGTACTGACATTTTATTTAAAAAAGATAAAAAGAACTAGACCTCCCGATACAAGCAGATTAAACATTCGATTTCGATATGATAAAGGGAACTTTTGACCTCCAGATGGCATGACAATTAAGCAATTACGGTCCAGCATAAAATGCCTAAATTTTGTTTCGAATGGATTGATGTGATTGTGTAGGATTGTAAGCTACTGTGATTATACATTTTAAATCACATAGATCATAATGGACAGTGATCGCTGACACGAGAGGTGGCTCTATTATTCTGGGGTCAAAAAGCGCGTCGAGCATAAACCAATAAAACCCCCATGAAAACAAGAAATCAAGTGAGGACTGAACACATTAACACCAACATTGGTGGTAGTTTGTTAACAAAAAATGAAAGATTATCGTCAGGATCCCAGGTAATGACAAACCATGCTTTCACCGGCACTAATGGCAAATTTTAACCTTTCTTTGGGATTGAGATTACCAAGAAGTAATAAAATGTACGAGTGATTTTTTACTGACCATGTGTAAAGATCATGACTCTTGCCAGCTAAGAAGCGACGCCAGACTGTAGAGCTTGCGTAGACAAACCATTTTATTAAGGCTGAATCACTTGTGCAGTTTCCTTCCAGCGAGATGAATCATCGCTAAGGTTGACAATTTTTTGGAAGGTATTTATGGACAAATTGTCAGAAATGTTCGAAATACTGGCGACAGTGTCAAAATTAGCATGCATGACCGGATTAGGTGCACAACACAATTTATCATTGCTGAAGGAAGCATTAGGAAAGAACGGAGAGGCAGCAGCAGCCGTGTTATACTATAACGGGCTGTCTAAACTGCTGCTGTTAGGTGAGGGGAAAGTACGACGCCTTCGCATTGCAATAAATTAACAACCTTCTCTAAATGCAATTATCATCAATTTTTAACATTTACAAGGCATTTATGATAATGAAATCTCTGGTACAAAAGTGGTTTATACAACGGTACATTTCCAGAGGGCGAATAACTAACACCTCTTTCGCCTGCTAATTTATTGGGTATGCGTTCTTTTTGGGGAAAAGGGTGTTATCAAGGGCGGTATACTTTAGTGTGTATTGCACCACTAACCCCAATTCGATGCCTTCACAGGTTGAACGAGAATTGTCAGAATTGCCAGATGAACACTTGCTTACTACATTGGAGGTCCTCACAATCATATTCAACCCCCGTCAAATGCACATAAAAAATCTCCCACACAGACACCCGATGTTAATTTCAGAAGAAAAGTGGAAACAGTGGGGATTGCCTGCCGACAGGTTAGAATGGGCTCAATTAATTAATGAAGGCAGAAAGAAGTGAGGAATGGTAACGAAATTTATGGATTTTTGTACTGATGAATTCTTATTATTTACAAGGGTTTGAACGGTTTGCAGAATACTCTATATTTCTCAAGACGTGGCTGTAGAGACCCAAGTTTTTCATGAACACGTAAGGAGACACAATACTGGGGCAAAAGCACACATTGCTGGCGAACGGAAGGGCCGGGACGGGGGGACTACCAACATGGTTTGGAGGTCACTCCGCCCAGCGGAAGTCCAGAGACGAAGCCTTCAGTGCTTGTAGGACCAAAACGAAAAGTAAATAAAATGCGCAAAGTATTATTGCATGAAATCAACCTACGACAGTGGAATAATTCAATTACTTGTTCCAACATATCCATCAGCTGAATAAGGTGGACGTCAAGCTTCCTCGCAATCAAATATACAGGAGAAAAGTGGCACTCAAAGAACTGGAAAAAAGTATGGACGGACACACGGCGTCCCATAATCGAGATAGCCTACTAATTTGTCGCCTCGAAAAATCTTCACTGTGACAAAACTGAGGGGAAAAATCGCTAGACATATTCACAGACTGAAAAAAAAATGCGAATCTAGTAAGAAACATTTAAGAATGAGACAGGTTAGTTTAGCTAAATGCCAATTATTTTTAGGTGTGCGGCGTTGACCTTTTCATTGTCGTGTGATTTTGCCCTCCACCTGGCCAAGCCTTTTATAACGAAGCTAATTCCAGAATCCCACGTCCCGTAATGTCTTCAGGCGTAACCTGGGTGGCACAGGGTGGTAGGAAGAAGGACCGCACTCGATGCAAAATTTAAAAGTCCATCCACGGAAAATTCACAGAGCAAAAGGCCATTTAATCGAGCTATCAAAATCCAGATGTGCGATGGTCATAAAACCAAGTAACATTAGGCCACAGGAGGTCACACTTCCTCTCAACCTCGAAATATAAATAACTTCTGGTGTTGTCTGCCGTGTCAAACCATGGGGACACGAGGCCGTTGACAATGGAGGAGGCATCTGCCCAGGCTCTAAAAGGCACCTGTACGCACATATGCGCACGTGGGTTTATGCGACCGTCAAAATGGAGGGTGTGTTTATGTCTTTCACTTGTTTACTTCACACATGGCCTGGTGCATTGTTAAGTATCCTCCTTTTCCACAAATTCGTGCATCAGCCCGACTGCTCTTTTGACCAGACGCCAATCATTACCGATCAAATGCCACCAATGTCACTGCCAACTCTGTACAGACACCCAGATCGCTAATTGATAGCTTAAATCAATGAGACGAACCCGGGGAGAGACACAGTGGAGTGGTTTGAAGAAAATGAAGCCAATTTCCTGAAGCTTGGGACCCCGCTTGCAATCTCTGAGGGGGGACATTTGTTTGGCGTAATTCCCTCAACAATCATGGCGCCACAGGGCTTGTGCGAACGGACTGAACTTTGCCCAGGGGGCAGGACGTCACGCATTCATGTTCTCCTGTATACGCATAAATTCAAGCGCTGCCAGCTGAGATTTTTGTTCGCTTGAAAAGCGTCCGATTTCTTTCCAGTGGAATTTCACTATTGCTGTTGTTGTTTTAGCCTCCTTGCCCTCCTGTCTCTTCGATTCACAAACTTTGGCACTTTGGATCAGCATTAAGGCGGATTAATCAAATGTGATTTTATTTAAGGGACACTAGTTGTTGGACAGTGATTTTGCTGCGTATTTTTTTAGTATTTTTGTGGAACAAAATTAATGCATCTCCTGCCAGGGTTCCAGAAAAGTCAACAACGCCAACGAATGTGACATTGACAGTTAAGAGGCAAAAATAAGCTTTTAATATTTAATCAAGAAATAGGTAAAGATTTATTCGATAAATTGTGAGGTATTTGCATCCCATTTATTTCAGACCAAAATATAACTGTATCTCCGACCTTTTATGGACTAGGAAATATCAAATTGTCATCCATTTATCATAGTCTCTAGGCTGGTGGGATGATGTGTGCCTAATGGGCAAGCAATGATTCCAAATAACCTCTTAAAGAGGGTCAATTTAAATCAGATCAATTTTTGCTTAAAATTAAAAGAAAATGTGGGGAAGGAAAAGACTTCAGACTCTGATGCCGCACTTTGCTGCCTCGAGCAGAAACGAAATCTGATACAACCTAAGTGCACATGCTGGAATGATAGAAATGCAGAGAATGGGATTTGTTTACATTATAGATTTCATTTCAAAACTTGTGCAAGAAAGCTTTACAGCTTTTACCAGATATAGTGTGAATATTTGGGTTCACTATGCGCTTTTGGATACAAAAATAGAGTTAAATGATCGGCTAGGTAAGGTAGTGATCAATGTAGCGTTAAACCATATCATGACATGTTTCCTGTTCCTGTAGACATGCTGAAAAACAACTCTTAGTATAGATGTTGACTGATGTCCATTGATGTTTTGGCAAGAGATACGAGTATTTAGAATAAAATTTTGAGGTTATTAATGTCTCCCAATCCAGTCCGCTCTGATGATTTCTCGAACTGGCATGAATGGATAATTTGGAGGGGGAGTTAGTGTCTATGACCCCGACATGACGTTGAGCCCAGGCTAAGGCGACTGGTCACTATCATGACCTAGCAATCGGAAGACCAGACTGCTACTGACATTGACGATAGTCGTGATGGCCTTAAATGTAATCCCACTGAAACTTGGAACCTGAAAGTTCCGGAAGGCACGATGTGTGAAGATGTGAGCTGGATCATTACCTTTCATTGTCATGCTTAAAAGAATCGTTCGCTTTGTAAACATCTGATTTCATGATGAGCCAAACTCCAGATTTTAATGAGAGGAGGATCGCAGGAAGCGAATAAAGTATTGTTAGCGATTGAGATAAATCCGTTTAAGCCCTACTAAAATTCCGAATCGGCATTTGATTACTGACAAAACTGACACTTCCGGTTTGACACATTGACAGTGAGTTGATTAGGCAGTCTGATTAACTCTAATCACATCTCACCCTACTCCACCTCTAGCCTTCAATGAGGTCGTAGTGACCTTGATCATTACGGATGATTTATCAAGTTCAGGAGGAGCTAGGGGCCATAGACATGGCTAGGGGCCCGGCGCTTCCCTTTTTGTAACCAACCCAAAAACATCATTGAATAAGACGTCGTGAATGAATGAATGCTACGGATTTAGACAAGGATCTTGAACATCGAGTCCTTTGCAAAGTCACCGGTATCAGAAATATGTACTTGGGTAACAGTTCAAAAGACTAAACACCACTTGTGATACCATTTTTTCTTTTCTTGGGATCGGTTGTTGATCGCTGAAATTGGATCTCGTCCCATCACCAGTTTCCGTATGCGACAGCTTTGGTGTTCACTCCAAGGAGACATCTTTTAGTCCAACTGCAAGGTGACTACAAACATTTACTTACCTATGATATATTATTTATTAAAGCATACAGATTTATATACATCCGATGACATCGAAATCCTCATCCAATTATGTCGTGTGTGCTTACTGCTACGACTAATAAACATCTGCCGTCCTCCCTCAAGTCGCAATAGCCTATGTCAGAATGAAGAAGAGAAAAGTAGACCAAATTGAAGGACTACATTGCAAGGAGGAAGTACAAACAGCGAAGGTCTAACTAGTAGTGGTAGTATTCAAAAGAGGCATTTAAACATTTGCCAAATGAAATACGATTTACTTTGCGATCGAGTTAAGAATCTGTTGGACGACTTACTGACCTCCATGCTGCAAAGTACTTCATGGCTTCATAACCAATGGCAGCCAGAACAAGTTTTTAAGGTAGAGAAGGTAATGGAATCAGAAGTAAGATCTTCAAATAACTGATCTCTGCCTAATCATTGGTTTTACCAATTAAAATCTCATTAAGCCGAGGCTGAATCCCTTCGTTAGCCCATAATAGACAAGCTTTTCTACCTACAACTTGGTCATATCTAACCTATTAACTCAAAAGCTGACATACATCAGCAAGACACTGTGGAAAAAACGTGTACCAGATTCCGAGACAATAAAGAGACAAATGCAGGAATGACCTTTTGCTACCAAGTTCCAGTAGTCAGAAAGCACAGATTGGGCACGCAAAGAATGCGATGACGCTGGAAAAGACGAGAGAGCCAAACAGAGGAAGCTCTGGAAGATGCCTGAGCCATCTCCGAGGGCATTATAGGTGGCATAAGTTAGGGACAAAGCCCTATTTTGGGTGTGAGCGAAGGCTTGAAAGTTAGGCGAAAAGGTGGGACATCGGTGAGGCCAAGGTCAAATAAAGGGCAATCCAAAAGGTCACTATGCCCATTCTGCTCTCTTAGTGGTAAAGGTGGACTTTCAGTCGGACAGCTAACTGTCGCATTAGTCTGAAAGCATCGAATCCCTTCATTTGTCAGCTCAATTTAAAAGGCGAATTTGGGTCCCGATAGAACTTTGACCAGAATTGGTTGAAGCCATCAATAGTTGATCATTCCAATGGGGGAGCCCATCGATGAAATAACGTTTCTCTTAACCAAAAATACAAAGATAGAAAAGTTTAGTGGAGAATATCATGGCACAGTGCCTCTTTCAGTTTCACATACATAAGCTGAGCTTAGAGCTTTATGATTTCCAAATAAAGCTAATCATTACCATAAAATAAACACACTACTACAATTACATGGTGTCAACAAATTATTACGTGTACTTCAATTCATGTTTTTTTCAGTCCACCTCATTTGATGGTTATCCCATTTAGCTAAGCAAATGAAAAATAGCTCCGAGACACCTTAAATTTGCTCTCTTAAGAAGCGAGGGGAACATGTTTCCACCAAAATCCTTCCTTAAGCGGTAAGAAGTTGCAAGAAGGGCCGAGGGACTACTGGCATGGCCTGGGCTACTAAGAAGAGCCGCCATTGCATCCTTGTGGGGCGGCCTGGCCTCCAAGCCATGCCAGTGGCCCTCAAGCCCTTCCGTACAACGAGGAAACACATTCGGCCCAAGTATTACGTCTTCTAGGAAGTCTGGGGGAGCTGTAGTACAATCTGTGGAGGCTTAAGGGCCTCCACCACAATTCGCAGAGTTGGACCAATTATCAAAGAATCAACCATGAAAACCTAACATGCTCATTTATTGCTGATTGTAAGGTGCGAAAATTTCTTTCGCAAGATACAAATTTTTGGGATAGCTGGGAAAGCATAAGGATGGCGACATCGGTTTAAACTAGTTGATTTTCAGATCTGAATGTTCCATTTATCCTTCCGTCTTGAATAGAACATTTTCCGAAAGAACTAATTAAATTTTTATAAGATCTCACTCATTAGATTAACGGAAACGCCAAGATCATTAACTTTAATTCCCTTAGCTTGAGGTCTCCTCTACTGTTAATTGTCGGGATGGAGATGTCATTGTGAAGGTTATTTAATTGGTGACACAGGCGCCTTCAATCGTGATGGAGATTCGATTTTATGATTGCCTATAATCTAATCTTTTCTCTAGCAAGTGAGCTAAACTAATTATGGCACAAAAGTGTACGATTTTATGCGTTTACTAAAGATCCCCACTTGGGGTTTACAACCCTGAGGAGATAGGCGGGTGGGGGGGGTTAGCGTCTTGCCCACCTCTCGAAATCGTTCCAAGGGAAGTTGAAGTGCTTTCAAATCTAGGACAATAATTTACACATGTGCCCTTTCTCTCCTATACCGTGGTCTTGTAATTAGGATCCAGGGCTGTTCTTTTGCCAAGTAAAATTTTGTCTCGTACGACTTCAAGTATCCTAAATCAAATGCTATTTCAGGTACGATGTACTTTCCAAAAATGCATGTTTCACTGAATTTTACATGAGCTTAATACCGCGGAGTTTAGTCTTCATAGAAATAAACTTCATCTTTGTAATACCTATGAGACTGATTTCTAAAGAATAAAGCGGTGCATACGAAAACTACACTGAGGTGCAAACAGTCTTGGGCTCAAGGAAGTCTCCGGCTACACAGCGCCATGACATTTTGCTTTCCCGTGCGTTCAAAACGTAGGCGACATCACAAAAAAGCTGAGCGATTAAAATTCACGTTTGTAAGACCTCTGCTTAAGTCTTAGAGTGATCGCCAGTGTCTCCCCTGTATTACACTTTTTAAAGGTTCGTAAAAGGTATTTTGCTGTGGGCGCAGGGACCGAACACCTGCTCGGTGGGTTACCATGCCTAGTATTTGCAGTTGTTGATCATCTTCTACCCAGTCATGACAAAACAATCTTTTTAGCCAGTATTTTTCAAGGGTCTAGGATAAGTTTTAGGTTATTTAAATGTGGGATAAGAGCTTAAGGTCATGACCCATCAAAGTGTCATAAAATCATCACGTCCCCAAAGGCATGGGAGTAGTGAATCCCATGGAGACATCTAACAATGGTATACTCTCGACATGATTTATTGTGCAATAAGTAACTTGGTTATAAACGAACTTTCAAGGTCCATAAAATGCAGGATTTTATGAGGACCACGCATCATGTATGAACAAAATCCAATAAGCCGTTTTAGAGACAGCAATAGGTTACATAATTCTCTCCTAAATTTAATACTTTGGTTGTTTGTCTAGCCCCCTTTTTTTATTGTGTGTGGGCTCTTGAGGCTTTGTATTTCCATTTTCACTGAGTGGAATGGCCTGCAGGCCATGTCAGTATCCCTTGCTCAGACTTTCCGCACTTCGACAGTACACATGCTGCCCTAGTATCATGCCTTCCGTCGACTTCGAGGAAGACCTGAGGGGCTACACTAATTGCATTCCATTTTAAATGTTTGCCGTTGATATCCGTAAAATGGCACTGGGAAATGAATGAATAATTATCCAGAACAGGCAAAATGTGTGAAAAAGAAGAAACGAGGCTAACTAAATGGGCACACTTCTATAGGCTTTGATGTGTTGGTCTAGATTTTTCGCTTAAGTCACCGAAAAATTTCATCTATCAGCCAAAGATGCGTTAAAAGGTGGTTGATACTGAGTCATGCGCTTGCGCACATGCATCAAAAGCTCCAAGCCTGTGAAAGCGAAGTGTTTTTCTCAAAGTTATCATCGCATTCAAACCTGAGGTTCATCGCCAGGTATTAGTTATTTTTTGAGTCTCGATTTGACATTTTAGAACCCGGCCATTCAGCAGTTAAATATATTGAGTAATTTGATAAAGCGCACCTGATAAATTACCGAAAATGATAAATTAATGAGCTCTTATTTAGACGTATATCGTGAAAACCGCTGGAAAGGCACTGGACCCAGTTCCTTTTCATTGTCTGCCCCAAACCTGCGCCGCCCTGTATCATCTTCCGTCGATACTTGTAACGGCGTCTACAAAGTGGGTGGGGAAGTGGAGCGAAGGTAGCAGCTTCAGCTATCTGGATTGGGTGGCGTTCAAGGTCAACACTCGTCTATGTTGACTTTTAGAAGAAGACAACAATGTGGGCGCCTGGATGCATGTGCGCGCAATCGAACAATTGATCACCTGTCAGACGGGTGGCTGCTTGGCTCTTGGCTTCGTTGTGTATACCCTCTAGGTTTCTCACTGTCTTACTTGGTAATTACTCTCATCGATATTAGTCCAAAAAAGTTATCTGGCTTTAGATAGGGACTTAAAATATTTATTTATGAAGTTGTAATAACTTTTAGTCCAACCATGCCATTTTGGTAAGGTTCGGAACATAGTTGATCAAATAGTGCATAGTATACATTTGTTTGAACGTACCTTTCAAGGTGGAAGAAACGCACCCTGAACACGCTTAAACTGCTATATCTGCACCGTTACATTCATTGCTACCCCATCAAAGTGGATCTTCGTCCAACTGGTCTGTTCATTCAAATGGTATTGCGATCAGAGCAGAAGAGCAAATCACAAAGAATATTCCATTGGGTTTTAAGCGTATTCAGGATATCTTTTCTCCCCCGCTGGGGCCAATGGCGTCCTACCGTCAAGGGGACCCTATTTACTGACTGCCAATTGCCTAAAAGGCACTATCAGACAAGCATTTGTTACAAGTGAGATTCTGATGTCACTGTCAAAATATCAAAGAGAATCGAAAATGAACAAAGGCCTAAAAGTTAACTAATTCAACACTTAGTCAAAGACGCGAATCTTTTGATCAACTTTCAAAGAATGGGTGTACACCTTGAGGGCAAATGGAATTTTGTTGGCAAATTTACTAAGTGTATGTGTCTGAAACAACTGTTCCCATCGTATTGTACTTATCTGCATTTCCAACAAATGTCCCCACCGGGGAGGGTGTTCTAGCAGGGTGAAAAGTTGTATAAGGGAATTTGGTAGTAATTTGGAGATGAATAACATTGGGCTGTAAATCATAATGGAAACTAAAAATGGGTTAGTGAATACAGGATGAGTAGTGCCACAAGGTAGTCATTCATGTGTGGGTTGTTAAGAAAAAAATAAGACCAACTCATATTCCGACTTGCAGAACATAACATCAGCACGCTATAAAGTGGGAATGACTTAATTTGGAGTGCACAAAAATAGCCAAGATGTCCCAGTGGGATGACAAGTAGAAACAAGTGATTCCACCCACATACGACGCATTTGTATAAATCAGCGTCCTGACGTGTCACATCATACGATTCCACTCAGGCATAACAGAAGTAGGAATCATCACCTAGTAACTGCGTAAATGAGCGGTGCAATTTTACATTACAAGTGTATTTTGCCTTGTATGGGCAGCCTCAATGTGGAGACTGAATATGAGATGCGACCTATGCCAAAAATCTAAAGTGATTGCAGTTGATGGAAAGAAACGGTAACCTTAATTTACCTTGATTTTTAGCTTCAACGAATGGTATATACTTCCAATAAGATTTAAGGTGAAAGAACGTGTAAAATGAAAGAGGACTGGCATTCGCAGCTAGATTAAAACGGGGACTGTTTAAAAATGTCCAAAGAATAATTTCTAAGTAATGTAGCACTCTGAGACTTCCTCAAAGAGGAAAAACACATATTACTTGGTTAGAATATGCATAGCTGACATACAGAAGAGGTGGAGGGCTACTGGCATGGTCTAGAAGCCATATCGCCCATCGGAAATACAATCGTGGAGCCTTAAGTGTCCGCGAAGTCAAAACGAAGAGTTAAATGAAGAGCATTAATAGCCTACCACTACTTCTGAGTGTCGCCCCCGGCGCTTTTCTTAGTCAACCTCCTGCATCGGCCACTACAGCGCAGTCAGTGGTGTAACCACACCCACACGAACCGACCGTGACAGTCACCAAGTGTGCGTGCAATTGAAAAGATTTCTGACTGCAACGCCACCGATTCCGCTTGAGGTTTCACCGGATATAGAGTTTCGCCCTCTCTGGAAAGTATTAGGAACAGGAAATGGTGCCGGTCATCACGTATGTCCGCCGTTAGTTGTAAGAACGCTGGCCAAAAAGCAGGGACACTTAATAAAGGATAAGGTTCGAAGTAGTTTTGTGTGGATAATGTTTTGTGTCTTTTCCTCCTTAAATCGAGTGGTCACTTCCTTGATATCTTTAGCCGGCTACCGCAGACAGCACGCAACTAGCTTTCCAGATGGTTTTGGCCATGGCCAGTGTCACTTTAAGAGACGTCATTTTAAACTCTTCTGTTAAGGGTTGTCACAGATGCTCCCCTCTGCATATTTCCTTCTTTCGTCACGTTAAGGTTTAGCTTTTGTGGATGGAAGTCAGGTTGGGCATCCTTTATGATCTGGCTCGCACTGTGCAGCTGCCAATGTTATTCTAAGAGTCTGCTCTGAAGTCGAAAGGGGACAATACTAGGATTGCATGAGAACAGATTAGCCTAGGTTGGAAAAGGTAAAAGAAGTTGTTTGCAGTTAAATCCCTTTTTCTTAGAAGGGGATACACATTTTTCAGCCTCCTACTCACAGTTTGTTATGGCGATGCTACACCATGCGACGCCAGTAGCTTTGTCTCAATGACGCAAATCGAGTACCTTGTATGAAAAAAAATTACATTGTAATCAAAATTCCTACCAGGTTCGTTTATGCTTTTTCCCACCTAATAAAAAATTTCACACACATTACTGTCCCTGGTTGGAGTGACGAGCACATTAAGCGGTGTAGTCCTAAGTTTTCATGCCCAATATCCTAAGGTTATTTGAAATTATATGTGCTTGATGAATGAAAACCGAATCACCTACAGAGACTCTAGATTAAACACCATAATGTCCGATTAGTTTTGGATATTAACAATTTTTCACAATGGACGTAGACTGGGAAATATTTCGGCTGCTCAAAGCAAATATTCGTGCAATCTCCGCCCTATTTAACCCCCATCTCCTATTCTATGCAGTCTTTTAGAATAATAGCCTATCGCTGTTGCTTGCAGCACCATGGCTAACATTGCTACGACGCTGTCGCTTTCTGCTGCGCTGTAGCTGCAGCCGCATGCACAAACGCTAGCTAGCTCACTCAGCTAATCTTGATCCGACTCGATCAAAGCCTCTGGCGGCTTCTTCTTCACAGCATCCCAACAACCGGGAGATTTATAATAAAAGAGTAGCTCCACTCCACGTCACTATTGCTGAGGAAGGCGTACTTTTTCCACCTAGGCAGCATCATTTCCGCTCCCAAAAATCTTACTTCACTTCACTTCACTTCCCTATGCTGCACTTCACTAAGGCTGGAGTCTGAAAAATGCAAATGGGCTCATGTTCACAGGCACAAACTTATGCATGCGTCATTTGATCAATATAAGTTTGCAGTTTTTCTTTTTCTTGATAGTATTTTTGTACTTCAGATTCTATTTGAGGAAGGAAAACGTGGTCACGCCTTGGTGAGAACAAAACTACATACTGTGCAAATCGTCAATTCAATGTAATACATTTATTGTTATTTTAATTCTCGGTTTTGGTAACGGGACACTTAGGGCCTCCGCCATTGTGCCCCAGCCGAAAGGCCCGGTCTGGTCTCTAAACCCTACTGTGGGTCTGCCCGATTATGTCTTCTTTCCCCTTCCAGGCAAGTCTTGGGACGCTGCAGCAAATTCAGAAGAAAACATCTATTTATTTGAGGGAAAGGGTTAACAATGCTTTTTGTTTTGTAATATTTAAGCAACAAACTGGATTTTCTGCTTCAATCAAGGTGAACATACGTGTAGGGCACACCTAATTATCAAGTATGAGTGAAAGGGCGCTTTGGTCTTAATTAACCGCTTTTCAAATTCTAACAGACTGAACTGGAGGATAATGCAAGGCGGTGTGAAAACAGTCAATTTTGCAATTTAATCAACCCCCTACATTAATTAGAAAATATCATTCATTCTGACTCATAAACGAGAACTCATTAAGTAGATACTTTCCTGTGCGTGATTGGTGATGAGGTGCAACAATTGTCGTTTTTTTCATTGGGAAGAATTTATGACTCTCTTCATTTGGGAAAAGCAAACCGTTTTAATATAACGGTGCATCTCTCACGATACACATACTTCCAAACTATGGGCTGCTTCCATGACATCATCAACAATACCAAGTCAAAAGGTATCCTGTCCTTATGGTGATGGGTTGTTGCCCGAACACTTCAAATACCTTCGCGGTTTCCATTATGTTCGGTTTTATGTTATGAAAGAAATTTCTTAGCGAAAAAGTGATGAATACGAATAGGCCCCTAGGCTTCTCCGAAGTAGAAAGAAGACGATGCTCAGGTATTGTTGACATACATAAGGGATGAAAGGCTACTGACTGGACGGCCCGAAAAGCCCCTAAGCGGTCCTTTACCAAAGCCGGGAGCTAAACAATCAATTAACAAACCACATCAGACTCTATTTTCTACGATGGTATGCCAAAGATGAAGACTTTTGAGGCCCGGAACCAACCGTTTATTGACAGTACAGCTTAAATAGAATTTTTTTACCAAAAACTTTAGCTACAGGTAGTAAGTGATCCATTAAACTTTTTGTTAAAGAAAAAAATGTAATGCACGTAACCTTGCATAGGCTTAACTCTGACGCAACCAAGAATGAGTCAGACCAAAGTATAGGCTTTAAAGTGCTCGGAATGCTAGTGTATCTTTGGCAACAAACAGATAAAACAACATGAATGATAGCTTGACTACAAGATAAAATCGACATTCCAGCCTAGTTAGAAAGCATGAAGTTGGTTGGTTTTTCTTCTTTTCAGTAGAAAAGCGCAAAACAATCAAACCGAAGCAGAAGGTAGATTGCTATTTTTTGCGGAATAACTAGTCTCTACCCCCAAAGGTCTCAGCTCAGATAGCATTTATGCGAGGTCCGTAAAACTGCCTCACCTCTCGCACCTGCATACGCATGCATTATCACAGGCACAAGCGACCTTCTAGGTATCCACGTCCTGGCGACGACAATAAGAATGAACCAGCACATACACATACACCCACCCACTTACCCACATAGGATGCAGTGATGAGACAACGACAACGACGATGACAACAACGGCGACTGCGCTACAACACGCCCGTCAGGACGGGTGAGTCATGAGGCGCAGACAATGTGAAGGGTTGGGGGGGGGGGGGGAAGTGAGGGAAGGAAGATGTATTAGTCACTCTCTCATTGCTTTAATCTTCACCTCCCCATCCATCCCTCCAGAGGACCATATACACACATGAAGAGACGCGCCTTGAAAGAGCTAGCGCGTAGTTCATCTTTTAGCGCCAAAGTGAAGTGACAAGAGAGTTGGTAGAAAAAGTGATATCTAAGTGTGGGTCTATGTGTACTCTCCCTACTCCGTTAATGCTGCTCCTTTTCCTACTTATTCCTCTCCACCTAGCCCCTCTTTATTCACTTCGGCGGAAGCAAGCCTTCTCACTTTCCTAGTTAACCACCTGACCAGAAATTTGTTAGTGGGTCTGATACTGACATCAATGGGTTACCAAAGCCGGCGCAAATACTTGTAGGTGATTTTCACACAATAATGTGGGCTGGGGTTTTTTCTTTTCTCGGAGCAGCCTTTAGGTAGTGAGAAGCACTCGAGTATCTGTGACGACGCGACAAGACATATGAGAGTCTGAAATGGATGTCAATGAGTTAATAAGGTACCTATAAGATCAGTGATGCAGCACTCGAGTTATTTCTGGCGCTTTTAAAAATCTTTACTTGCAATGTGTGGAAGGACCAAGGAACTAGTGGCACTTGTAGTGTAGACACAACTCAATCCTCTCAGGGCGGAGGACAAAAAGACAGGCATAGCAAGACGCTCGATTAGAATAAGTATTATTATATAACACTTTCATGTATGCGGATTTGGAAGTAGCAATATCATTATTATTTCGTCAAAGATCCGAGGGTGATTGCAGCGTAGCTCTGATCCACCGTCGTAATGGTCCAACAGCGAATGCTGAAAGGATGTGGGACTTGGGAAGGAGAAAATTATCATTTCTTAACACCGAAGGAATCACAGGAAACTGAAATGACATATGGATTAAAATACATACGGCATATTCCAAGACAAAAATATGAAAGCGGCTTTATCAGAAGTGCACGTAAGAGCTGCTGGCATGGTGATTAAATCAGTCTTCCAAGCCATGGAGTTGCCGTAGTGGGAGACTACACACGAAACAGAAAAAAGATTTAAGCCTAAAACGTTTCAAGTAGTTTAATTATAAATTAGCCCAAGTAGAACTGTAAGGCCTCTCTTCGCGAGAAAGTGAAAACCATCTTCACAATAGCCCTTACAACCAAAACAACTACTACCCTTCCAAGTGTGGCCATCACATGCTGGCTGGTCACATTTTCACTTTTCATTGTTCACATACATTCTCGTTGTTGATGCCGTGACCTCGAATGGGGGACAGATGGGGGTGAAATGGGGCATGGTAAGACTTTTCACACGACCCAAATAAACGCGAGTGGCGTTGCCTACTTTGGTGGCAGTTGGCGGGGGGGCGCTGGTGGCTCGAACTAGGCCAGCGGCCATTAGGAGAGGCCCCCAACTCAGCGGAGGAGGCCGACGCGCCAGAAGGTACAAAGAGATGTGCAAAAGTCCGGGTTTTCGTTTGATGACTGTAAAACTTGTATAGCTGTAGAATAAAGCGCCATTTACCAATTGAAAAGGAGTTTTAACCAGTACCCTGGTTCTGATTGGTCAGTTCCCAAAGAAGATGAGCTGAGGGCTTCCTTAGCATTAGATTCCCACCAATTTATTAAAAATGTTAGTTTGTTAGACGTTTTGGATGCCTAAATGAAATTCAGAAATTTAAAAACATGCGAGGACTAGATAAAGTAAAATTAGTACACTCAGTTTCAAACAACATCATCTAAGATGTATTCAAACAAGTTGACTCTACTAATTGTGCATTAATGAATTCCAAATCAATTTATTTTTTAAGTTTTTAGATGAAGTTAATCCCATCTCCAACAATTTGATGTTTCAAGTAACAGGCAGATATTTCAAAAATTCAGTGAGCAAAAGGGAGTTTGTGATCTTGGAAGTTCATCCAACCGACAGGTACGATGCAGGGGCCCAGAAAATTTATTTGCCGCTCCATTAAGGTAGTAATATATGTACCCAATGCACTCCTCTTTACTCTCTTGTTTATGTATTAGTAAGTCTTCAGAAAATACTTTTATTTCATTTGCTTTGATTAATAACTGTCTAAATTGTGGGAGTTTTATTCGATCACACAATGCTAGGAGTATTGTAATACACGTTTGTTAAAATGTACTTTTCAGACGAGAGACAGCCAGTAAAAGTGAACCTCATGATGGGTCAGACACCATTGGTCCCTGAGGGGGAAGGTGAGGAAGAAGAGGAGGAGGGGAGGGAGGGAGAGGGGGAGGAAACGTAACCTTAGCAATCTTTATTTATCGCTCTCCCATCAACGCGTGTCCTCCTCCAGCTCATTTTCTCGTTCAATGTGTGTAAAAATACTGACGTGGAGGCGAGAAACATTGGGCCTATTACAGTATAAAAAGGAAGGCAAATTTATGCCTGATGTCCGTGTGCGATCGTGTGAACCTGTATAGAATTGTATCAGAAATAAATTCAAAAAACTTTAATCTTTAAATAAAGAGTTATTGCAGTTGTTTTTCCGACTAAAACACTTCTAGCTAAATATCATGACAGGTATCTTTAAAAACGTGGATAGAAATGAGTGGCTCCAAAAATGGTGCAGATTTACTGTGGGCACCGAGCTTTTAGAAGGAAAGTAGAGAAAATCCTGTGGATTAGCGGAATTCTCCGTACAGTGGTGTCTTTTTTATTATTCATTAACTAAGCCGTCTGAGGAGATTTTTGCTGTACAGGCAAAATTAGAGCCTCCTGTTTTATCTTCCCTCCATGTGCAAACAGCCCTGATACGCATTGGTCCGAAGGGTTTTCATTGCTATAGAGGAAAGGGGGATAGGTATTTGCTAATCATGTTTACGCACTCTTTTTGTATGCAGCTCCTCGAGACTTTTCCAGAGACTAAGGGAAACATCAATTATGCGTCGTTACAGATTCTCTCTTCAGCAGCATATATCCCACTTCCGTCAAGTTAAAGTTTACCGCTCAATAATGAAAATCAGGGTGGTTGTTACTTGGGATTGCGTTTGCTTTCTACTGCCACAAATGTAGCTTTCTGAGACTTCCCTAAAGAAGAAAGAAAAAAACTAGGGCCTAATCTATATTTCCAACATACAGAAGGGCTAAGGTGCCTCTGGCACCGCCAGGGGGTCACGCGGCCCGGTGGAAGTACAATGGAGGTGCCTTAAGTACTTGCGTAACTAAAACAAAGGGTTAACCAAACAATCGAAGCATTACACAAATTCGCTAGGGTTTTTTTAATAACTTAAATTTTAGCTGAGCTAATATGGAGAATTAAGAGCGCCCGATAGATCATTTACTGTAAAGAAATTAACCTTTAGCATTTAGGAGCGATAACTTTTGTTTGTCTCTCACTCTCAATGCATCTTTTTCCTGAAATATATAGCCTAAAACCCTTGTGAATTGCTTCTTTAAAATAAAAGACGCCTTCCTAACTGCAACATTTTCTTCAAGACAAAAAACCCGTCTTTATTTAACAACTGTGCCGTATACATAAATCTTCCACCAAAACAACTACGAAATTATTTGACTGAGCCGTCAGTATTGTCGGGGAAATACAGGTGTATTTCAGAGAAAAAAGCGCACCACTTTGTTGTTGCACAAAGGCACTGTGTAACTTTTGGGTGAAACAAAGTAGTAAAAGTAATGTAACAAGGCGGTAAGCCGCCCGCCAATCATGCCTTGAAAATACACTTCAACTGGACACTCATCTTAGCCGGTAAATAGGACAAATTCCAGTCTTTCTCGTCTCCCTCAAGTGGAAATAGTAAAACAGGTTTCCCCGGGGGAAAAGAATTGTCGCTGCTGCTAGGATATTACCTCCCAGTCATTCATCAAACAGGCCGATGCCTGATCCACGGCACAATGAGGCGATGATAAACAATCTCTGGTAGGTGATAGGGACAAGTGTCATTTTGGGAAGCCTTATTGACACATAAATCAACACAAATTCACGGATATGGTTGTGCAAAAGTGTAACATTGTCCTTAGCAAACAATAGTCCCTTTGTGGTTTAACAGCGAGTATGTTTTATGGCTTAACACCGTTTAGAGATCATGTAAGTGGGAAAAATAAAACTTTACCCATTGTTATGAAGCATGATGAACAGGCCTTTGCGTAAACCTTGCCCAAGAGCAGTTAGTTGACTATTGACAGCCTCTACCACTCCTGGTATTGTGAGTGGTCCTGGTCGTGATCACCTCTACAGCGACCCAGATATACAACTTCCAGGGATCCAGAATGGATGTCTTGGTAGACATTATTATGACCACTTTGTCATTTAAAGCTGGATTTAGAAGGTTATGAGTGTTTAGAAAAAAGGAGCCTGCCTAAGTAGCTCGCTCCAACCAAGGCCTAAATCTCCTTTCAGCAATAAATGTCAACTGCCATTTGTTTTCTAAGGCCTTGACTAAGAGGTAGAATGGATCCAAAGGAGAGCTACTTTAAAGACCATTACACACGACAACTATTTGTTGTGCAGGAACACGCTAGCCCTCCAATATAACTTTAATTTTTCTAGAAAATTAAATTTTATCTGAGGTCAACCCGATTATACTGAGCTTTGTGAGATATGTGTGATATGAAAATAATATGGATTATCATTGGGACGGTGAGCTTCAAACTTCAGTCCCAACTTTCTTCATTTGACACCAAAGGGGATTCCCCAGCTAGAGTGACTTCCTTCAGACCCAAGTTTTTCCTCTTATCATTTCAAAATCATCTTTGATTGTAGGGGTTATAGTGCAGAGCAGGCCCAAGATGGAGCAGGAATATTTTGAGTCCTTAACACACGTGGTTTCTCTCCGGATTGTAGGCAAAACACGTGGAATTACAAGGACGCATTAAATAATACCTCCACCTTTGGGTCATCCACGGAAAATCTGCCCCTTAAGGCCTAACATCAGTGCATTCAGTCATTCAGTGCACACCAAGGCCTTGACGGTTGTTCATCCCCAAGGTCGTGCGTGTTTTTGTTTGCATGGCAAGGGTGAACCATGATGCAGGCACCATAAATCACTTGTGAGGTAGAGTTCAAGGAGAATAGAGGGGAGAAGGCTGCACAAAAATGGGTTGTGTGTGTGATGGATTGGATGGGGACAAAGGAGCACAAAGTAGCAAATTCTGGTTCGCGGACTCTGCTTCAAGTGTGCATGGATGGAGAGGTGACTTTCGTCTCTATAATTACCTTCAAAATGGTCCAAAAGTCATTTTTAAAGTTAAGAGGAGCTAACGGGATTGCACCCATTTTTCGGGAGACTTCCATCGAATGAACTTTGGATGACCTTTAAGTGAATCTCAATGACATTAACACGTTCACTATTCTAGTTTCGGGAGCCAATCAACCATCATAGCCCATGAACGATCGGTTTTATTAAAAGTTATATATTCCAAAAATCCAAAATGTGTAGGCAAACTCAGAGCAAGAACAATCACTAACTATTTTATCACTCTAAACTCCAAGTTTGTTCTCCACACAATAAGTAACACATCGACAAAAATAAAGCAATACTATTGAAAGCCGACCCATTTGGAATAAAATTAGGATTAAACACAGCTCCCAGGAAAGTGGTCATCAATCGAGTTCAGTCCAAATTAATAACCACTTATACACTAGGATTCCTACATACCTCCAGGCTTGTCAGTAGATTTATGACCAAATGTATGTTGGCACAGAGACAAGTCTTTTTTTTCGCTAGTCCGAACAACTAGAACGAGGTGCGTGCGCACACATACGGACGTAGACAGGATTCATCAGGGTAAAAAATACCACCACCACCAACTGTCAGTCCACTCAATGACACACACATGTCAATCACACAAGAGGTATATATATGTGACCGAGCCGCATTATTTATTACCTATTTACGGGTAAACGTGTACATTCCTGTCTCTCGCTATGTGTGTACATGCGTACTCGCGACCGCTCCATGGCGTATGGTTTATGAAAGGGTAGGTCGGTCGTCCAGTTTCGAAGTTAATTAACTCCTGAAAGTCCTGCCAGTTCAAACTTGTTTAGTGCAACATGATCAGGGCATTGCCACATCACTTGCCTGGAGAATATCCTGTTCCACAACACGGAGGACTAAACATACACACTAAGGTAATCCATTTCTAGATAAAGCAAATCAGACTAAATTGCGGTCTGAATATTTGTTTCATTCATTTGTAATACTTTACCTGTTAATGGAACTTCGCGTTTCGCCTACGCTGGAACCTACGGCTCCACTGATTGCACTTCCGCTGGACAAAATGTCCTCCAGGCCATGCCAATGGCCTCCACTTCCAGCTCTTCTACACGTCGACAATTTATATTATGCCTTATTTAGTCGTCAGGATGGCCTTGGGGGCTACACTTCGTTTAACTTTAAACAGGCATCATCATACGACTTAGCTGATTTGATTGGGTTATGCATCAGGAAGTTAAAAAAGGCTAGTATTTTAAATTATTATGTTTCATAAAAAGATTTGCAGCAGTAGATTAATGTGAAGCTTAAAAATTGCAAAGAAAAAAAATTATTAACAGGAAAAGGTTGGGTGAGGACTCATCCCAGCCAGTGCTAGTTGAGGTGATTCTCCAATTAGGCTAAAGTGTGACCAATTTCCTTTTCTAAGTAATTTAAGGTGCATTTCAGAAAAACATTCAAAGCAAATGGCTAATTTGATTCACCTAACATTCAAATCCTTTGGCTGATTTGTCATTCATTTACAGGAAGAATGAGGGACTGAGTGGCGTGGGCAGAATTTGGCTCCACCGACGTGTAAGTTGAAGCACAAAGGCCTTCTGCTACAGTTTTACAGCGAATCTTCCAGATGCCATCCTTGATGGTCTAGATTAGGCTATTGCAGTTTTCCCAGTACCGGAAGGATGATTTTGTAGGGATGCTTCAAAAGAGCCCCAAATACTGGCGATTTCAGTAGTTACTAAGATCGCCACTCCACTAGGATCTGGCCCAAATGAAGCAGCACTTTACTCACGAGAAAGGAATTATAAGGTATAGGCCTTACTAAGGGCACAGACAACTAAATCTGATCTTTGAGGTCATATCAAGGGCCAAATTTGAATTTTTTCCCTTCCTCATTTGTTGAAGTAAGACAGTCAAAGTACCCAATAGTTAAAACCCTAGCATAGAGGTAAAATGATACCTAATCCGGTCAGTCTGCACCACCAGCACACTTAAAGACTTAGAAACGATGTGCTTGACACAGATTTCGACTCAAACCTTGAGTTTTCTACTAAGTTACTAATTTTGCACCATTTGGGTGAGAAAAAGTTTTACCGAAAGAAGTTCATCATTTATCCCTTGCGTTTGTGAGTGTCTGTGGGCCGAAATTGCCACCATCTCAGAACGCATACAAGCGAGATGGAAGATACAGGTTCAACTGTTATTTGACACACAAAATCAACGGTAGCGGCGGTAGAGGAGGAGCTACACAGCCTGGTACTTTAAGCCTCTTTAAAAGGCAGGATCAGCCTGCATTTATAAGTTTCCGTTGACATGTACACATGTACACACACATGGACGTCGTAAACGAAGCTTTGTAGGCACACTGTCGTGGGAACTTTGCATGATTTACTGCTACGAAAAGCAGGGAGTTGTCAAAAAATATGCAACGGAACGAAGCATGTTCATATTGTTTTCCACTTTTACGCCGGAAATATGCATAAGAAATGTAGCCTTTTTTTTACTGGCATCACATGAGGGGGAATTTTAATTGCACAGCTCCCCAAGACTTCCCGAAAGATGAAAGAAGGCATATTATTCGCGCAGAATATGTATTTTAGATATACAGAAGGGCTTGGAGCTACCTAAACGGCCCGAAGGCCACGCTGCCCTGTAGTGGTATAATGGCAGGGCCTCTAAGTGGTCCGTTACCAAAACTAAGTTCAGTATCCATAATCTCAAATTCAGGTAGGGAAGCCAAGTCATCGATGACGTCGGTTTTGCTTCAATGGCGGAGTGACTGCTAAAAATTGCTCATGGAAAGCCTAGTCCAGCAAAAGGTTGGGCTAAAGCTCCGTCGCTTGTAAACAAGCATACACAAACCAATATTACATGGAATTTTTTCCTTTTATTAGCAAATTAACTGAATCTCAGATGGACACGCTGTAAAGGTTCTCATGGATTCGTACTAATACGAAGAAGGAGGTACCCACACAACTGATTTAATCCAAAATAGAGGGGTATTTATGTTCCATATTAATCAAGAGGACACAACCGAAGAAGTGTATGGATAGGAGAAGGGGGATAATTACCGCTAGAAAAGGCCTGCCTCAACTAATAACTGTCAACGCAGCCCAGAGCTAAAAAGGACAACACAAACGCAAAGCCCGATACACAGAGAGGGGAAGAGGTACTTTTTCATGTCCCACGATTTTCCCATGTCCTATGTGGGGGCAGATATAGATACGGGAACTGTGAATTACTCAGAAGGAGAGAGGGCGGTTTTTGTAACCGGGATGACATCGCTATGATGCGGGGGCTTTGCTTGACCACTGGTGAGCTGTGGATCATTTCAAAGTTTGGCGAATCTCTAAATCTGCCACCCAGTATTTAGGCAACTGTGACTGCGCCTAAATTACCCCTGAAAACAATTTAAGGTAAAGAAGTTGAAAAGACGTTCTTTTTCTCCTCTTACAGAAGGATAATCGCGAGTATCATTCCGGAAGTAGCATTGCTATGGATTCACAGAAGGATGTGAAGTCTAGTGGTATATTTCCAAGCCACCAGGGTGGTGAATGAATGAAGCATCCTAGTTTGGTGCAAATGCTACCTCCACAGCTCGAGTGCCACCGGTTTCAAAGGTTTAGCAATTGGCATGAACTTTGTAGTGTTTACTTTCAAAACACAAACACCTGCTTCCAAAAGCAGCCTTTTGGCATATCCAAAACCAATTTAGCCATTGGTGTTGATTGTTTAAATCAAATTTTTAAACACTAAAATATTTGTCTTCTTATCGGCATCCAGATGAAGTTTCTAGAGGACGATTTATAATGGAGCCTATTTGAAAATCTCCAATTTCCCTGCAATTTTACCTTAATAATCTTGAAGCTAAATCAAGGCCTTTTAAATTTCCAACAAATTTGGGAAGTCAGAAATAATAAAAAAAAAGCTAGGAGAAGTGGATTTGCCCGCAGATGTAATCTTCCTTCAATGGAATTCTGAAGAGATTATGATGTCGGAAAAGGGCGTCCCTCCATCTCCTGTTCTATTTTATCTACCATACTGTACGATACACGCGATGGCAGTCTACATTCGCTTAACTTGTTTAAATTGAATTCACACCTATATAAGTTTAACTTTTATGGGGCAAAAGATTCGATTAAGCAGGGAGAATAATAACTTAGACATAAAATATATATTTAAAACTTATCATCAATGTCAATTAAATTTCACTCCATTTATTTAGACCATTAAATTAAGTAGAAATAGTCTCTGCTTGATGAACGTCTTTGAGGGAATTAACTGATACACGAATTAAAGCAATGGCGTCCCATCCTCTCAAGGATGGCAACAGATATCTACCAAAAAGCTTTACTTATTAGTAATTAAGTAGAAAGATGTATCTGGGTGAAGTGATGGCCGATAGCGTGGCACTGATGCTAGCATAGAGCAGGTAATCATTATTAAATAAAAAGATCATTTCTTGCACACTTTTTTGTTCAAGATACCCTCTGAGGACCCCGCAACATGGCTATAGTTTGATTAGTTGTGAACTACGTGATCAAGAAATCTCAAGTTATGATTTTGAAATGAAGGAGATTAATTTACTTTTAAATTATAAAAAAGTTTGCTTCCAGAATATGCATTTAAATGAAATTGGTAGTAACATTACGACATAAGTCACTTGTGCAGGAATTCCGGACCCAGTCATTCATGCTTGCCGGAGTGATAAATGTATATATCAAATGTGAGTTAATGTGGGGCCTAATATTCCAGTACCCTAAGACCGCCTCAAATCTCAAGCTCACAGAATAACAGGATGGCTTAAGGCCCAAAAGCCCTAAAAGATGCTCTAGGACGTTAGTATTTGTGCCTCCTGTACATTAAACCTTTTTAAAAACCTAGTTGATCCGTAGAAGATCAAAGGCCCAGAACTTGAATCGAAGCAACTTCAAAAGTAGTGAAAGTCGTGCATATGGATTAAAGTGAGTGGTGTAAGAAAATTTTATGCAAAAAAATATGACTTTAGAAAAAGATGTGGAGGATTCATGGCGTATAAACGGCAGATCTTAAACATCTAGAGGTTAGAGAAGCTTTGCACTAGTTCACAGTCTGAGACACAAACACGTAATAACTCAAAAATGTCATTCATGCTTATGTTTCTACTAGTACACCCATCTTGGTTACACATATGCGGCGAGTACTCTTGATTAGAAGAGAGCTAACCCTTTCAAGGACGATGACGACCAAATACAGGCTTTGCATTGGTAGATGAGGGAAAAGCAAACCACTGTAGACAGGCTCAGAGACACACAAACGTTGCCATTAAAAGTGAGTGGGTGTAAAATTTAGAGCGGATGACTTCTGAGAAGCAGATCTTATGTTTCCACAAACTTAGTAAACACAACAGAGGAAAAAAAGGAACTAAACTGGCCATTGAGGTTAACTGAGACGTCAATCTAGTGATGGAAGGCGGGCAGTAAGTAAGACAAGTCACCCTCCTAATAACACATCATTACGAAGATGAACAGAAGAATTTTGAGTCTTTTGCTAAACAACAAGAGTTTAGAGGAATGCAACAATCTTAGCGGTAAAATTCAACTTGGTGGATTATTATAGCTTCACGGTTCTTTGAAGTTTTACCTGTAACTAATAAAGAACTTTAAATTTTAAAATCTACATACTGGTAAGGCTGTACTTGATTTCAGTATTATAAGGTGAATAGGGTGTGGCGATATGTCTACGCCTTGAATAACGACGAACAGCGACTCCTAATAGTTGCCTTAGCAATGGTAATTTAGGCATTGACAGCGCCCCTATGACGGTGGTTATCACCATACTTTGTTTTTTATCATGCTACACCACGTCAATTAAATTTGGCTTGCAGTACACCCAGAGCCACAAAAAATTTTTTGGATAGGCTTTTTTATCATTGTGATAGTGTAATGCCTATTTGAGCTTCAGAAATCACCTTATACATCATTGCAACCATACCCATCAATTCAGTCCTGACCATTTGAATCTCTGTCGTAAATAATCCGATTTATCACAATCTTGGGGCTTTTTTGTCGCTAAACGGAAGTTTTTTTGCCGTTACCAGTTACAAGTATTTCCAATGAAACGTGAGGGAGGAGTCCTTAGAATATCGGGACTGCGAACTGATTATGAAGGTTGTATGCGATCAAAGTAGACATCAGTGAGAGTGGCTGCCAATTTGAAGCATCTAGCGTCTCCACAAGGGTGAGTTTCAATCAAACCACACCTCTTAACTTGACAGGCGTCAAACGAGATGCTACCGTTGCGATACCATACACAATAGTGAGTGCCAGGTGTGTCCTATCGCCAATGAGTGGCACATCTTTCGTAGACTAGATCCGACACTACTAATCTAGATGGTAGACGTCAGGGGTGATGCGTTTATGAAAAATAATGTGGTGGTTTAACGAGTTTTCTTGGGAAGAAAGGCACAATCTCCATCGAAATCGACGCATAGTGAAGACTTTAACCCGAATTACGGGAGCCATTTCTGTGGATACCCAGAGCTTGGAGAGTACGTCCTCGGATGAACAACCCACGACCTGTCGGAAAGTTGCATAGGAAAGACGTCATTCAGTAAGAACGGTTAACACAGTCGACCCTTGGAGTCTAGCCGACATTAAATACCGAAAAGCCTTTTGGTTGCGATAAATACAGAAAATTTGAGCAATGCACAGAGTAGAAAGAGCGTTATGACGAGAAGAGCTGACACCAATACAGGGAATACCTACGAGAGTTAAGGTTTCAAAGCAGATAATTTAGTAAGTTAGGTCAGGTTGCCATTAAATGATAATAGGGTAGATGACTACGTCTGAAATGGATTCCCTACTTTTTGCTATTCTTTTATAACTCTGGAAGTCTCGATTCCACTCAAACTTCCCCAGAGATCCCATTGGGGGCAGAAACGCCTGCTAAATCGGAAGACCCGAAATATTCCCAACTATATTTTAACTGTTTTGGGTTATATTCTTTCGTTAATACATATCAAAGCTAAGTTGGATGGGGGTTTAACAAACTGTCAACTACAGCAGAGCCTCGATACTTTGCGAAGACAAGAATAACACAACTAAAACACCAGGCTCAATATGACTTTAATCTGGAATAGAAAATTAAGGCACTGTCACTAAATCCAAGAGCTAATACGCAGTATATTAGCCACGAAAACAAACATGGCAAACAAAGTATCACACAAGGAGGTAGCACAAAAACGCAGCGAATTAATGTTGATAAACTTCTTCTAATTCCTGCATTACACGAAGTGCAAGCTCATCAGCCCAGGGCTTAGCAACCACCTGAACCGCCAGCGGTAAACCTTCTGCAGTTTTCTGCTGTTCCAGCAGCTGAGCTTCAAGGGAGTGGGGAGGCGCTTGCACCTCTACTGCCTGCTTGATATCCTCCTGAGTAACTCTACCTAATGGAACCACACCAGCTGGACAGTTTACGATGTTAAAGATGGTAGAGTAGCCAGCTTGTAAGAAAGCTAAACTGGCTGAAGATTCTTTCAGCAGAGCAGGAGCTGGCGCTGCTGGTCCGATGAGAAGGTCGATTTCCTCGTCAGACCACAGGTCAGAGAATTTGCGACAATGTGTTTCCAAAGCCTTGTGAATAGATTCGGCGGAAAGTGGCTTATTCCAAACTTTCAGTAGCCGTTTCATTTTATTGCATTTGGCTTTCTGCTGCCACTGAATAACCAGACTGAATAGACCTCGCAGAAAAAGCGGAATTTTTGGAAGACAACACTTGATGATTTCGTCCCAAGTTAAACTGCTTCCATGATGCTGTCCAATGTGGACATTCCAGTAGGAGCAACAAGAAAGGACGACTTGAAGAGCTAGGAGCACAGCTTCCTCAGGTTCTGGAAGTTCAACGTCAACAACATTATGTCCTTTAGCTTTAAGCGCAGCCTCTGCTATGATCATAACTCTTTCTACAGCTGGAACAACTGGAATAATGCTAGAATAACTTCTACAGACACCGATAACAAGATTTTTTTTAGCCATATCTGCTTTGAAGGGCACAGGGGGTGTAAGGAGATCAGTGTGAACTGAGGCAAGCGAAATCATTGCATCCGTAATGTCAGAAACGTGTAAACCAACAATTCCTACTGTAGGAGGTAAAAATTTGGGGAAATTAACTACATTCACAACCCCCTCAATGCTTAAACGTTGAGTTGTAGGTTTAAAACCCACCACTCCTACATTTGCAGCAGCCAGACGCACGTCACCCAGAATATCCAGACCGAAGCCAAGAAAGGCCCCCTTCTGTTGCACAATGACGGCGATAGAGGTGGAACCCACAACGCGATTGGGATGGGTAGGATGCCGAACTGTTCCATAGAGCCTGCTAGAAGCGTCCGGCTCACCAGGAAGTAGACCTGTGGTTGCAAGAGCAACCGGGTTTGCACCAATTTTACGGAGATCTTGAACCAGACAGCAGTCCGCGTCTTGACTATAACCAGCCTTAAATACCGTAGAAGTATTGCAATCTTCACCCTTAATCGAGAAGCAGTTGGAGAGGCATACAGGAATACCATGGAGAGCACTGAGAGGTCTCTGATTCTGTTTGAGCATATGATCAGCTACTATGGCAGTAACATCGGCGTCGAAGACTATTTCCGCAATGCAACTGGATGGAGAATGCATCAGACGGATTAGGTGGACTTGGAGGGCTTCCAGAGATTCAAGAGAGCTAAGGTCCTTTAAGACTACGATGCGATGTCGAAGCTGGGCCATTGACAGAGAAGTAACCTCGTCTACCCTCTCTAGCGGGGTCTTAAGACCACAAAGCTTTGCGGAGATGCTGTTTATCACACCTTGTCGCTGTAACTTTTTCCTGGAGAGGCGTTTTTGACCTTTGAAAAGCCTGAAGAGACTGACACCTATGCGGCTACAAAGCCAGAATGAGCAGATAATTCCATTTAGATAGAAACTTCCGGAGTAGCTTTGGATGGAGGTTGCGGATTTAATGATGATCGTGGATATCAAAGCAGGGATTCCTAGGTTGACAATTATGTAAAGACAGCTAAACCCATCCAAAACGGTGCAAAGGAAACTTAAGTAGAAATTCATTTTGATTTCCTAAACGGGAAAAAACAAGGTAAATGCACTAACAATGATAAAAGGACACAAGACTCTTCGCTTTCACGTTTAAAAATATTCCATCAAATTCTTTCACATTGATTAGCATTGTATAAACAACTTTTGGGCAGCATCAGTTTAACAGTGCTTTTAATTTAAAACCAGAGAATTAAAAGTAGAATTTATCAAACACCATTAAAAATATTAAAAAATCGGTACAGGATGAAATAAACTAGTTTTGGTTTTTGCAGATGATATTTGACATAACACTATTATTCTGATGACAACCTAGCATTTTCGCAGGGAATAATCACTTTTGTCTATGAGGGTAAACAACTATGTGGGCTTCTCATCAGAAGGGATATTTTCCAGTATTAATCTTAAGGGACTCCATTTTTATGAAATATAGGGTTCCCGAATTACTTAGAATCATGTTTGAGAGAATCAACTTTTTTACTAGACATATTGGGAAAATTTTCTCATAATGTTGATGTTTCAGGCTTCAAAAGCACGGAAAACTGACCAGCAAATGGAATTACTGTCACATAAGATCCAATTAGGTAGCACAAAATGAAGGAATTTAGATAAGTGGAAAACACGAATAAAGGATGCAGAAAAGTATGCAAAACAGTAAGATTCTTGCCAGACAAAGTACATAGTAGTAGAAGAAGGAAGTGTCAAGTGCCAGAGGTGCTTGATAGATGATAGGAATTTGATATAAGGCAGATACGTGTCCACATAAATCAAAAACTCAAAATTTCAATAAATATTGGCGAAATATTCAGCAAACATTCAAATTCAACACCTAACCTAGTATAGACGTTTTAATCAACGCAAACTTTCTTAGGCTTAGCAACAGTGATAATAGTACTGCCAGGATTCAATACTACATAAATTTGCAAAACAACTTGCTCCAGGCAATAGATGGTGTTTGCAGTCATTATAAAAATAATTGTAAAAATTGCCAAATTATGCATATTAGGGAAGGATAAGCGATGCCGGATTTAATTTGACTCGAGATTTTACCAGTGAACGTACTGCGACCCTTGTTTCGGCATCCAAATTATTGCGTTACAGCGGGAGTCCACATTCGCGAGTTTAAACTGCTCCAAGGTTACAGTGTTCTTTAAATGTAGGCCAAATCCTACGTGTTTATGTCAAAAACCAAATAATTAGTGGATGTATATATTTTGTTATGCTCAAATCTAGTTTACATTCAGAAAAATACGAGGGTGCAGACTCCGTGATAATTCGGTTGAATATAGTTAAGATAACTAGTCATCATTCGATTCCATTTTGCTTTACACTCTCCATTTGCATCCAGCAGACATTTTCACGCTTTGATATTGAATGCAAAATACCTGGGATAAATAAAATTTAACCCAGGTGCCTGTAAATTTGCCAAGTCGGTAACTGGATTGAGGGGCCGATTTATGCAGATTTAATATAAATACTGCTTTGCACACTAGAGTTTTATCAGATACACGGAACATACGCTAGTAGAACTTTGGTGTACTTTGGGACCAGAAATATTCATATCAGTTTGTCTTCTGCTTCCCCCACTGCCTTTTCCTTACCACCAACCACGTGAATACTTCGACATGATCCCGTTACATGAGTCACCTGCTATTATTAAAAATTGAATCCGCATATCCTTTCATTCAGCTTACTGATGAACACCGTTGCAACTTAATTTGCAACTACTTACCTTGATTCTTGAAACTTCCGCCATC